CCAGGCTTCCCAGTGGCCACAGAATGCTGATGTCCATGATACACTCTCTACTGGAATTATTCTTAGGCCAAATTCTAATGCACACAGAAAGTTATGTGTTACACTAATTCTTAAAAAATTCTATACCCCTAAATAAATACCCTAAGAACATACAATGGAGTAAAGACAGTCTCTTCAATAAATGGAGTTGGAAAAATTGGACAGCTACTTGCAAAAAAAATAAAGCTAGACCACCAACTTACACCATACACGAGAATAAACTCAAAATAAAAAGACTTAAATGTAACTCGTGAATCTATAAAAATTCTAGAAGAAAATGCAGGCAACAAAATTTCAGACATCATATGCAGCAGAATTTTCACTGATACATCATCTAAGGCAACAGAAACAAAGGAGAAAATGAACACATGGGACTACATCAAACTCAAAAGCTGCTGCACAGCAAAAGAAACAACCATCAAAATGAAAAGGGATCCCACTATATGGGAGACCATGATCACCAATGATGCATCAGATAAGGGGCTAATTTCCAAAATATATAGAGTGCTCATATAACTCAACAAATGGAAGACAAAGAAGTCAAGCAAAAAATGGGTAGAGGACCTAAAGAGACACCTCTCCAAACAGGACATACAAATGGCCAAGAGACATATAAAAAAATGCTTAATGTCACTAATCATCAGAGAGAGGCAAATTAAAATAACTATGAGGTATCATCTCACACCTGTCAGAATGGCCACCATCAACAAATCATCAAACAAGTGTTGGCAAGGGTGTTGAGAAAAGGGGACTCTAGTACACTGCTGGTGGGAATGCAGACTGGTGCAGCCACTATGGAAATCAATATGTTGTTTCCTCAAAAAATTAAAAATGGATCTGCCATTTGACCCAGTGATCCTATGTCTAGGAATATATATATCCTAAGAAGCATGAACCACAAATCAGAAAGAATATATGTACCCCTATGTTCACAGCAGCACTATTTACAAGAGCTAAGATCTGGAAACAATCCAAGTGTCCATCAGTAGATGAGTGGATAAAAAAAGCTGTGTACAGATACACAATAGAATACTATGCAACTGTAAGAAAGAAAGATCTCTTATCCTTTGAGATGACATAGAGGGACCTGGGGAGTATTATAAGCGAAACAAGCCAAGCAAAGAAAGACAAATATCACATGATCTCAATTATTTGTGGAATATAATGAACTAAACAAACTGATGAACAAAATTGACCCAGAAACATAAAGGTGGGGTACAGACTGACAAGCCTTAGAAGAGGGGGGATAAAGGGGAAGAGATAGACCACAGAACTTATATGCATGTATGCATGACCAATGGATACAGACAACAAAGCTGGGAATGGGGTGGGGTAGATGGGGAGGAGGGTGTCCATAGGAGAAAAAGGAGAAACATGTGTAACAAAAAGCACACTATTAAAAATAATTAAAATCAATCAATAAATAAATTAATTAATTAAATGTGTTGGGAAAACTGGACAGGTACATGCAAAAAAATGAAACTGACCACCAACTTATACCATAGACAAGAAAAGACTCAAAATGGATAAAAGACTTAAACGTTAAGCTATGAAATCATTAAATTCCTAGAGAAAATGTAGGCAGCATAATCTCAGGCATTTTGTGTAGCAATATTTCTACCAATGTGTCTCCTAGGGCAATGGAAACAAAGAAGAAAGAAAGAAATGGGACTACATTAAACTAAAAAGCTTCTGCACAACACAAGAAATTAGCATCAAAATGAAAAGGGAAACCACTGTCTGGGAGAACATATTTGCCAAAGATGCATCGGATAAGGGGTTAATTTCTGCAATATACAACGTACTCATAAACTCAACAAAAGAAAGACAAACAATCCAATTAAAAAATGGGCAGAGGACCTGAATTGTCATTTCTCCAAAGAGGACATACAAAATTCCAAAAGACATGAAAAAATGCTCAATGTCACTAGTCGTCAGAGAGATGCAAATTAAAACAACTATGAGTTATCATCTCACACCTGCCAGAATGGCTGCCATCAACAAATCATCATACAACAAATTGCTGGGGAGGATGTGGAGAAAGGGGGACTCTAGCACACTGCTGGTGGAAATGTAGTCTGGTGCAGCCACTATGAAAAACAATATGGTGTTTCCTCAAAAAATTAAAAATGGAACTGCCATATGACCCAGTGATCTCACTTTCAGGAATATATCCTGAGAATCCTGAAACACCAATCAGAAAGAATATCTGCACCACTATGTTCATAGCAGCACTATTTACAATAGCTGAGATCTGGAAACAGCCCAAGAGTCTACCAGTAGATGAGTGGATAAAAAAGCTGTGGTACATTGACACAATGGAATACTAAGCAGCTATGAGAAAGAAAGATCTCTTACCCTTTGAGTCAAGCATAGAGGGACCTGGAGAGTGTTATGCTAAGTGAAATAATCCAGTTAGAGAAAGACAAGTATCACATGATCTCACTTATTTGTGGAATATAATGAACAAAATAAACTAGATAGATCCAGAGACATGAAAGTAGGGAATAGACTGATAAACTTCAGATGAAGGGGGAGGGCAAGAGGAGGAGGGAAGAGATAAACCTAAGATAAGGATATAATGTACATGTTTACATGCACAAACATATGGATAAAGACAATAGTGTGGTGAAGGCAAGAGGGGAGCTGGAGTGGGGAAGAGGAGGTCGATGGGGTAAAAAAAAGGAGTGACATCTGCAATAGTTTCAACAATAAAGATGAATTAGAAAAGCAGATGTGCACTGGCAGTTTTTCTCAGTGGTTAGAGCACGGGCCCATGGACCAATGAGTCGCGGGTTTGATTCCAGTCAAGGGCAAGTACCTTGGTTGCTGTTCATCCCCAGCCCTGGGAGGGGTCATGTAGGAGGCAACCAGTTGATGTGTCCCTCTCAAGGCGATGTTTCTCTCTCTCCTTTCTCTCTCCTACTCTATCTGAAAATAAATTTAAAAATACCCTCAGGTGAGGATTTAAAAAAAAAAAGATCACACACACACACACAATGAAATATTCCTCAGATATAAAAAAGAATAAAATTGCCATTTGAAACAACTTGGATGGACCTAGAGGGTATTATGCTAAGTGAAATAAGTCGAACAGAGAAAGACCAATACTATATGATTTCACTTATATGTAGAATCTAAAAAACAAAATAAAAGAACAGCCCTGGCCAGTTTGGCTCAGCAGTTGGAGCGTCGGCCTACGAACCAGAGAGTCTCGGGTTCGGTTCCCACTAGGGGCACATACCAAAATAATAAATAAATGAATAAATACAGAAATGGACTCATAGATATAGAGAACAAACTGATGGTTGGCAGAGGGGTGTAGGTGAAGAGAATGGGCAAAAAAGGCAAATGGAAGTAAGACTTAGAAATTTCCCTTTATAAATTAAATAAGACAAGGATATAATGTACAGCATAGGGAATATAGTCAATAATATTGTAGTAAGTCTGTATGATGACATTTGGTTACTAGACTTCTCGTGGTAATCACTTCATAAGGTATATAAATGTCAAATCACTATGTTGTACACTTGAAACTAATATAATATTGAAGTCAACTATAATTTTAAAATAAATTTAAAATAGTAAATAAAGTATCAGCTACATAAAATAAAACAAATTTAAAAATAAAGAAATCAACTAGGTGGCATTATAATTTTTAAAGCCATTTAAAAATACAAAGCTCCAAGGTACATTTGTGTGTGTGTGTGTGTGTACGTGCATGTGTGTATGTTTAGGTAGATAAGCTGGGTGTTGGTTACTGGATGATAAGTACTTATATTTCTATTTCTTTTCAATTCATTCAATTCATCATGGAGTCTAAAATTTTAATTTTTTTTTAACTTGTGGGAAGGCTCCAGCTTACTAGGGAAAGGGCTATTATTTATAATCTTTACACTAAAGGCAAAAGACATGGTGCGGTGCCTGAGTGGGGCCAAAAGAGTGAAAAAGCATGACGGCTGGGCAGCTGGCCTCAGCCCAAGAAGGGAAATAGGAAGGAATTTTTCTTCTAAGCCAAGGGACTACCCACTATGAAAATATGGCCTAAAAGATAGACCCCTCGGCATTATATTGTTAGCCAGTCCTTTATATTTCACTTGGGGAACAGAGTGGGTGCTGGGATGTTCTCTCCAGCATGCTCCCCAGAGGGCAGGGGAAATCTGAGAAGCAGCTCCAGAAAAACTCCCCTCCAATCTGTCCTCTCCCACCCCAGCCTGCTGGCACTATCCATGAATTAACAACCCATTCTTTCTGAGCTCTTTATTCTGTTCCTTTGGTCTGTTCATGTTTGTAAGCCGGTTCCATTGTGCTCAATTATGGGCTCTGTAATACACCTCAGTATCTGGCAGTGTGCATCCTGAAGGACATTTCATAGATAGACTTCTAGCCTCCCCCTTCTCATAAGGGAAAGAGAAGGCAGAAACCCACCCTATGAATATTTTCTCTCACAATTTGGCAACTCACAATTAGAAGCTCTCTAATCAACAAGCAGAGAAGTGGAATTAGTCTCAAGTCACTATGTGAACTGAGATGCATTCCTGGGCATGGAAGTGATGAGAATAAAGCTCTGTTTTAAGAAAAGTAAACTAGCAATACCATGTAGGATGAAGTGAAGGATGGGAGAACACTAGGCTGAAAACTATAAGAGGAGGCTGCTGCAGATGGCAATGGTCTCCACTGGAGCTGCCAAGAGCGAGAATGGAAAGGAGAGATCAATGGTGCTCGTGTGAAGCTCCTGGTCAAGATTCTGGAACTGCAAACATTCTAGAAATGCTAATAGTAGCAGTAGTTGTGAACTGACATAAGCAACTGAGGATGCTAACACACACAGTGGATTTAAGGAAGCTATAGATGAATGTCCATGAAATGAATTCAACCTCAAAAGCCATTTTGTTCTCTGTTCATTGTTGTTTGCCTACAACGTGGGAAGATGGAGCTATACAGAGAGGAGACCCTCCTACCTGAGTTTCGTCCCCGACATCTACGGTTCCCGTTCAGAAGACACGTCACCCTCAGCCCCACTACTGGCACTGCGATCTTCTTTGCGAGGAATGTTTCTTTCTTTGCTTGATTCAGAAGACCCTTTGGCTCTGGTTTTTTCTTTCCTCTGCTGTTGTTTTTCAAGCTTTGACAGCTGATTATCAAAAGAAAAAAAAATTATTTTGCAGATGTAAACATGTGCCTGTATATCCAAAACACCAATTACTTCACAAATAGCAACCACTGAAACAGCTTTTGTCTGATAACTTGGTGACCACAGTGGTTCTCATGTGCCAAATTATACACAAAATGCTATCAGTCAGGCACCTGCATCATTAACACAGATTAGTCATATATGTGATCTCTCTCAGACACCCCCCACCATAACTCAACTTGTCATATGGTATTTGAGAACGGTCAATTAACAGGCTTCTTTGACAGGCTGAGTAGAGACATGAAAATACTTTCAGTCTTACTTTTTTCTTTGATGTCTCTATAGCTTTTTCTTTCCATTTACTGTTTTTTAAAGAGTGATCAAAACACTCCACTATTTGCTAAATTTAGAGAGAGGCTGTGAATAAAGTACATTAAGCACATTTAGACATTGTCTCAGTTCTCAGTTTGTTCTTTGAGATGCACTTGACTCATCTATAGCCAAAACTCAAAGTGCTCCTACCAGGTTGGTGGTGGCTACACAGGGACACTGGCCACAGGAACCCTCTCAGACTTCCTCCAGACCAGCTGGGGACATGCTTGTGACATCCAACCCCAAGGGAACCTGAGTCCACGTCTCCCTTGGATATCCCTCAAAACTATCCAAAGAAACCACAGACTAGATGATCGAAAGAAATTCAGATCATCTGACACTTTGAGCACAGCCACTCCAGAAAGGTCTACTGAGAAGCATGCCAAGAAGATTGGCCAAGTTTTGACCCATGGGATTTTCTTGGACCAAAAAAGCTGTCTGTAACAAAGTCCAAGTGACAGCAACACCCAGTTTCATCTGCCTCCCAGACCACGACTACAAACATTTTCTAGTTCACATGGAAAAGGGAAACTTAATGAAGGCTGGCTTTTCCCAACTGTTTCCTGCCCCATATCTAAAAATAAAGAAGTCACCATAACCAACCTGCCAGGTCATCTCTATGTTACAGACAGATTTTGAGTTAAATCCAGACAGATCAAAAATCAGGAGCTCTCAATTTGGCCCAGAAAACCAATTTTATTGATGGTTGACATATGTTATCTTTCCCATTCCTCATCTACCTGAAAAGCTGTACTAAACAACTAGGTTGGTTAAGATGCTAATTAGATTTTGTGAATTAAGACATCACTTCACCTTTGACCCACCAACTCTCCTCCCAGATAACTCCCCTAGATACAATCACATGCGTGTGGGCAGGAAAGGCTCATAGGAGTGTGCACTGCAGTGTTGTTTTGCATTAGCAAAAACCTAGAAACAACCCAAATATCCACTGACAGGAGGATAGGTCAATATAATGTGGTGTAGTAACGAAAAGCAATACTGTAAAGCAATTCTACATGTATCAAAACGAATGTCTTTAAAATCATGTTATGTGAACCAAATTAAATTTCAGAAGGCTGTATAAGGCAGGATTCCATTTACAGAAAACAACACTATGTATTCTAATGGGCTTGTGCAGATACAGTATAGACTGGGAGAACACAAATCAACTTCAGTACATTAGTTAACTTTGGAGAAAAAGAGAAGAGAATAGAATCATAGTGGAATGAATATATATGGGTTTCAACTATAACCTGCATGTCTATAAAAACATAATCAGATCTAGAACAGGGCTGTTGACCAGTGCCACTACGCAAACTGCTCTCTATTGGCACTTGGACCACTAACAATAAGACATTCATGACAGGATGTAAACCAACATACAGCTTCCTTCATCAACAAAAGCTTGCTGTGAAAAAGTACTGGCCACCGAATTGTGTGCTTAGAGTGGTATAGCTCATTCCATTCTAATACAAGCTCTTGTCTTACTATGGCCTGGTAACAAACAATTCAGGGATGATCTGGAGCAAAGATGACATAAGGTTAGCATTTTTAAAAATCTGAATAATGGTGTACAGAATTCCTTGATATGTTTTTCTCTGTACTAACATTTTACCTGGATAATTATTTTTCTCTGAACTATACTACCACAGGTTAGGGAGAAATTTCTTGCATCTAAGATGATGGTCTTCCTTGTTTCCCTTTTTGTGTTAAAATGCTTTTTTTTTTTTTCATGAAATGATGAGGATAGTAGATAGGAGTCCTTCTGTTTGTCTGTCTCTCTCTCTCTTTGTAAAATGATCCTGGATTGCACAATGTGAATGTACTTAACACTGTTTAATTATACACTTAAAATGGTTATTAGGATGGTAAATTTTATGTTATGTGTATTTTACTGCACATTTTAAAAAATCTTCACCTGAGAATATTTTTCTGTTTATCTTCTATCTTCTGATAGAGAGAGCAAGACAGGGAGAGAGAGAGAAACATCAATGTGAGAGAGACACATCGACTGGTTGCCTCCCCAACGACCCCAACCAGGGCCAGGGATGAACTGCAACCGAGGTACGTGCCCTTGACCAGAATCGAACCCACAACTCATTGGTCCACGAGCCAACGCTCTAACCACTGACCCAAACCTGCCAGGGCCTTTACTATACATTTTTTTTAAATTTTTATTGAGATATAATTGACATACAACATTATATTAGTTTTAGGTATACAAAATAATGATTCAGTATTTGTATCGTAGTTGCTCTTAGAACAATAGAGGGGTTATGGCCCTGACACACACATCCTCACCGCACAGTCAAATATCCATGTGTAACTTTTGACTCCCCAGAACTTAACTACTAATAGCCTATACTATAAGACTCACCAATAACACAAACTATCAGTTATCAAATATTTTGTATGTTATATGTATTATATACCGTATTCTTACAATAATGTAAGCTAGAATAAAGAAAATGTTATTAAGAAAATCACAAGAGAAAATACATTCACAGTATTTACTGAAAAAAATCTATATAAAGTGGACCAATATAGTTCAAACCTGTGTTGTTCACAGGGATCAATTGTATTGTGAAATGATCACCATAATAAATCTAGTTAACATTCTAGATTTTATATATATATATATATATTTTAATGATCTTTGAAAACATGAAGTTGGCAACCTATGCTGGACCTTCCCATTTCTTTTTTATTTTTTTATATTCCTAGTCCATGAAATCCAAACATCTGGAAATCAGTGTTCTACAGTGAACTGTGATACATTGCCTTCTGCTGCCAGCCGTTGACATTACCATCAGTGTCTGCGTATATACATGTGTATATTACATATTTGTGTGTATCCATAGACAGACTTTGCATACACATACATATATATATATATAAAATCATAAGTGTATCCAATTTAGACACTGAAAAGCATGATTTCTATTTTAAAAATCACGCTTTGTTTCCCCTCTTTAGAGTAAATACAGAAAATGTGAATATAACCAGTGATATAACCAAACCAAGCCTCCCCTTACTAAGATTCAATCTCATGCAAAGGTCTGTTTGTGCTCCAACCTGTTAGTCATGTTCTACTCTTTTTTTTTTTTTTTAATGTTTCTTAATTTTATTTTATTATTATTTCTTTAATCTTTATTGTTGAATGTATTACAGATGTTCCTCATTTTCCCCCAATTGACCCCCTACTCCCCACTCCTGCCCCCCTCCCGCCTTTTCCCACACTATTGTCTGTGTCCATTGGTTATGCATATAAATTCCTTGGTTTATTTCTCCCCACCCCCCAAGCCCTTTCCCTTTGAGGTTTGTCAGTCTAGCAATAAATTTGTGCTTCTTAATCCCTTCACCTTTTTCACCCATTCCCCTAACCTTCCTCCCATCTGGCAACCAACAAAATGTTCTCTGTATCTATGAGAATGTTTCTGGTCTGCCTGTTCATTTTGTTTGTAGATTCCATTGTCGATAGATATGTATTCATTGCCATCTTCTTTGTTCATATATTTTATCTTTTTCTTCAAGAAGACCCTTCATCATTTCATATAATGGTTTGGTGGTGATCAACTCCTTTACTTTTCCTTGTCTGGTATACTCTTTATATGGTCATCGATTCTAAATGACAGCTTTGGTTGTAGTTTCTTGCTTTTTATCACTCTGAATATTTCTTGCCACTCCCTTCTGGCCTGCAAAGTTTCTTTTGAGAAAGCTGACAGTCTTATGGGAATTCCCTTGTAGGTAACTAACGGCTTTTCTCTTGCTGCTTTTAAGATTCTCTCTTTGTCTTGAACCTTTTGCATTTTGATGATGATGTGTCTTTGTGTGGGCCTCTTGCTGTTCATCTTGTTTGGGACCCTCCATGCTTCCTGGACTTGTATGTCTGTTTCCTTCACCAAATTAGGAAAGTTTTCTGCCATTATTGTTTCAAACAGGTTTTCGATTTCTTGTTCTCTCTCTTCTCCTTCTGGCATCCCCAAGATGCGAATGTTGGCACGCGTGAAGTTGTCCCAGAGGCTCCTTACACTATCCTCATTTTTTTGGATTCTTTTTTCTTTTTGCTGTTCTGATTGAACGTTTTTTGCTTCCTAATAATCCAAATCTATGGTTTGCTTTTGTATTTACATACTCTACTATTGAAGCTGTGTAAATTATTCTTTATTTCAGTCAGTGCCTCCTTCATTTCTGACTGGTCCATTTTTATGCTCTTGAGGCCCTCACTAAGTTCACTGAGGTTCTCACTAAGTTCATTGAGCATCCTTATAAGCAGTATTTTGAACTCAGCATCTGTTAGATTGCTTCTCTCCATTTCGCTTAGTTCTTTCCTGGGGTTTTGTTCTGTTCTTTCATCTGGGACCTGTTTCTTTGTCTCCTCATTTTGGCTGCCTCCCTGTGTTTGTTTCTGTGTATTACTTAATGAGAGGTACGGGGCTCGCTGAGACCCGATGCTGCTTGTTTGAAAGAATTTAGGAAAGCCTGAAGCAGGATCCAAGACAGGCCAATCCTATGGTTAAGCAAGTGGCAACAGCTTGGGTGGGCCTGAAAGTTGGGTGGGGCAGGGCCTCAGGAAATCACCAGGGCAGGGCTACCAGTGTGAGCCAGGTTGTTGGAGTCCCAGGTAT